TGTACAAATTTTAAATTGTAAAAAATAGGATAACTGCACAAATACAATAGTATGTACTGGGATACTATACGTACTCCTTTAGTATTTAGGCAATAAAGTATTGAAAATACAGTACAATAGAAAATTTACATAATAAGTTTGAACTAATAAGATTTATACGGGGGTCTCTGAGGGGAGTTAAGGAAGTAAAAGTGCACAGAGGGAGAAAGTGAATTGGATGTGATCACTCCAGAGGCCTCAGCTGGTAACTCAACTGGGCCTTTGTCCTGGGGGCAGCAGGACCTTGGAAAATGAGGCACCTCACTGAAGGCAGTTCCTGGGGAGAGACTTGCTAAAGCTGTCGGCAGCCTACACGGCCAGCAGCTGGAAGAATGAGTGCTCCGTGCTGCCCAGGAGTCAGAGCTCGCAGCACAGCACCCACTGTAGGCCACCCCTGATGCTCCTTGTTCCCACTTTCTTCATGCAGTAAGTTCTGGAAACTGTTCTTCCATGGTTTTATTTGATGTCTGTTCCTTTTCTTGAGTATCTTACTAGAAGTTTAATGGGATAAACTACTGCACTCACTTCTGTAGCTGGTCTTGAGGCCACAATTTACTCCTCTCTCTGCTCTAGTACTCATTCAAAGTCCCCACAGCCTAAGCTAATGCTTCTGCTGGGCTGAGATTGCTTACTTGCTAAAATAACCTGAACTTTTGTCCTGTAGGGGTTCAGTGAAAGTCAGGGTGGGGGGTGGGCTTCCCTAGAGTCGCTCAGAGACCCAGGCTGAGTGAGGCTCCACTGTCGGGGTGGTCGGTCTCACTGTGTATGAGAAGAGGAAGTCCATGCTGTGTATAAAATTATACCTAGGTGGTGGTGTTGTTTTTGTCATATCAGCAAAAAATACTTTTTTTGGTGTGCTGCAGAATTTTAGCAACTACTTTATGTGTGTCATGAGATTAAAAAGTTTGGAAATTGCTGGTCTTCATTGGGCTCTTCCTTTTCTCATGGTGAAAGACAGGAGAACCAAGCTAAATCAAGCAAGCTCATTTACAACCGTCTTCAGGTTTGGTGGACATCACATTCTCTCACATTCTGTTGATTGAGATAAGTCATCTGAAGGTGAAAAGGTATAGAGGTATACAGGGTTGGGAGGAGATATCTGCTATATACACTGCTTTTTTTTGTAAGTGTCTAGTAACTTTTAGTTTTTCCAGAATGGCAAGGCCTGAAATATTCTAAACTCTGTTCCCTTTCATTTCTACTTGTAAAGTGGCAGTAAATTGTGTTTACTGTATTACAGTGCTCTGTGTTACGTTTACTGTACTACATTCTTTCACATCTATCCAGTAGCCACCAACACACACTACTAAAATTTTACTTTCTAATCACTTCTTCCCAAACTTACTCTGTAAAGGCAAGGCCAGATAGTATTTTAGGCTTTACAGATGATACAAGCTCTGTTATAGCTTTGCTAGTGTAACACAAAAATAGCCATAGACAATAAGCAACTGAATGAGTGTGGCTGTTTCTTCACAGGTAGGCCTTCCTTTGCCAACCCTATTCTAGAGCCTCAACTTCATTATGCAGGGCTGTGCCTGCCGAGTTCTTGCAAGTGACAGTGTCTTTGAAGGCGTTGCTATTATATAACCTGGATCGCTTTTCCAACTGTGGTATTAGTTTCCCTGCTGCCTGCTACTTGACTGCTAACCTATGATCATGTGTGTATGGAAGAGTAGCACCCTACCTGGCACCAGTTTCAGTGATATCAGAATAGACCATAGACCGGCAAGAAGGAAGAGCAGGCTGTTTACTGCACTACAGTACCACTTGTGACGCCATGTGTCTGGTTATCAGAATAGACCGGTGACGAGGAAGAGCAGTGCTCGGCGTTTACTGCAGTACAGTACCACTGTGACACCACGTGTGTCAGTTTTTCTCACCAAACAATTTTCAGGTTTTCTGTACTTCAGCTGGTGTCCTACAATTTAATTCAGTTCTGACACTTGCTACCTGGAGACAGATTCAGATCCCACAGGTTAAAAGCTCAGCCCCACAAGATTGCCCCCACTGCAGATGCCGATCACAAGCCCTGGTTATTACTGTGATTCTGACCTCCTGGCTATAATTCAGAGGTTCCCACATCTCTCTACTCAGGATCAATTTATTTGCCAGAGCTTCTCACAGACTCAGGGAAACATTTTACTTAGTAGACTACCAGTTTATTACAAAGGACATTAACTCAGGGAGAGCCAAATGGAGAGGTGCATAGGGCAAGGTATGTGGAAAGGGGTGTGGAGCTCCATGCCCTTTCTGGGTGTGCCACTCCTCAGATCTTCACATGTTCAGCACCAAATCTTGTCTTTTGTGGTTTTTATGGAATCTTCATTTCCTTCCTAGGCATGTTGATTGAATCATTGACCAGTGGTAATTGAAAGCTAGCTGAGGTCTGGGGGTGGAGCTGAAAGTTGAAGCTCAAATCACAATGTTGGTTCCCTTGGCAACCAGCCTCCATCCTTTTGGGCTTTGCAAGTCTGCTCATTAACATAAACTCAGGGTCAGTGAAAAGGGCTTTAAAAATAACAGTCACCTTTGTTGCTCTTATCAATTAAGGAATTCTTGCTCTGGTTGGTGTGGCTAGTTGGTTGAGTGTTGTCCTGGGGACCGAAGGATTAAGTTTGATTCTAGGTTAGGCACATACCCAGGTTGTAGGTCTGATCCTGGGTCAGTGTGTGTGCAAGAGAGAGCTGATCAATGTTTCTCTCTCCCTCTCCCTTCCTCTTCCTCTCTCTCTCAAAAAAAAATGAATAAAAAATATTTTTTTTAAAAAAAGAAAGAAATTCTAAGGTTTTTAGAGCTCTGTCTCAGTAATTGAGACAAAGACCAAATATACAGTAATTATAAATCACAGTGTCACAGCTGGGCTATGCTGGGTACCAAACCCTGAATTCTCCATGGCTCACCAACTACGGTTTATTTCTCGCATCGCATGTCCAGTGCAGGTCATGACGGGTGAGGGCTCTGCTTTACCTCAATGCTCAGCAACCCAGACTGACAGAGGGTCCATCATCTGGAATGTTACAGTCACCAAAGCATGCAAGGGACAACAGGAGGCCCTTCTATATGTTCTCACTCACTTCCCACTTCACAGAACTAATCACAGTTAGGCTTGCCTGACTATCTACCTAATTGTGAGGAGGCTAGAAACTCTGAGAGAAGATGGAATAATGTTAGCTTAGTTCCACTCTGCTACAAATTCATGCAAATTCAGTTGTTCTTCTCATATGGCTCTAGCATTGGTAGAAAGGTACATATTGATAAATAGAAGGATAGATTTCAGGTAATATTATTTGAGGCATTTTTGGACAGTTTTTTCTTTAAAAAAATGTACTTTTAAGTGTATTTTACTCTTAATTTTCCAAAATAAAATGTTTAAAATTAGTATTGTATTTCTAGATGAGAATGCAGTAGTGTAAAGAGCCATTGATCTTTACCCATCCGAGTAGACATTGAAATGGTATCAAAGCTTGTAAGTTATATTTTTGAACATGCAAAGTTACTTGGCTGAGTATTGTGTTTTGAAATAGTGCCAATATCATATTTATGGAACAGCAATAATGAAAATTTTCATCTTCTGTTTCGCTACACCTATTGGTCTCTATTTTTAATTTGATAAAGCCCTTGGGTTATTTATCTTCTAAAACCATCCGTGATTGCCTATGAGAAGATGTTAAAGACAACATACAATTTTTCCTGGATAGGGACATTGAAAAAGCAATCATGCTTTTCAGGCCATCAGTACCCATAATGGAGTTTGTTTGTGTCATGGGTGTATGTTTGCTTTCTATGGTCTCTTGGTTCACAATAGGTTTCATGGGAGCTAACAGGCAAAATGTGTTGAACTTGAAGCCATCAGTGTTTACGCTGCTGCCTTCCTTTTAATGACCACAGCATGGAATTGCTTAAAGTTGGGGTCAGGTGGAAAATTCTTCACGAAGACATTATTTAGTAGCATTAACGGCAAGTAATTATATAGATTAGTGGCACCAAGACAATGCTGTCCTACCTCTGTGAGCAGACAGAGATTTTACGGACAAATTTGTGTGATTTGGGACAGCAGTCAGTGATGGAAAGACCACTGAGGACTGTTTCCATCATTATACTTGGCCATCTGCCAATGAGAGAGGTCAAATGATACCTGCTTGGATTGACATAGAAGGGCCAATTATTGATTTGTATTATCTACACAAACTCCATTGTGTCTTTAAAATCAGATTTTCTTATGCTGGTAATTTAGTATACAAGTGAATATAAATGCTAACTTATGATTCTCTCTTTCTTTTACCATATTCGTTTTATATGAGCTTTTTTATTTTTAAATACTAGAGGCCTGATGCACAAAATTTATGCAAGAGTAGGCCTTCCTTCCCCCAGCTGCTGGCACTGGCTTCCCTTGCAGCCCCAGCTTCATCTGGAAGGATGTCCAGTCTAATTAGCATATTATGCTTTTATTATTATAGATTTTTTTATTGATTTCAGAGAGGAAGGGAAAGGGAGAGAGAGATAGAAACATCAATGATGAGAGAGAATCATTGATAGGCTGCCTCTTGCATGCCCCACACTGGGGATTGAACCTGCAACCCTTGACTGGAATTGAACCCGGGATCCTTCAGACTCCAGGCCTACACTCTATCCACTGAGCCAAACCAGCTAGGGCTTATGTGAGCTTTTAGTTGTAGTTCCAAATCGCTTTACTCCACTTGATCAAAAATTACTAGCTAATCATAATTTCTAGCAAATAAAATATTACTAAATTCTCTAATAACTGTATGTATTCATAAATTAAAATACCATCAAGTGAATTCCTCAAATGTGCCCAATATAATGAATTTATGCCCTGATATCGATTATGGTGAGAAAAATAAACAGTTTGCATGAATTGTTTTATCAGTGATCTGATAACTTGTGAGCTGCAAAATATTTGTATATGTCATAGCATTCTTTTATTTTTTTATTTCTTAAAGGACTTAAAGCCCAGTAATATAGTAGTAAAATCAGACTGCACTTTGAAGATTCTTGACTTTGGACTGGCCAGGACTGCAGGAACTAGTTTCATGATGACACCCTACGTAGTGACGCGCTACTACAGAGCACCTGAAGTCATCCTAGGGATGGGCTACAAAGAAAACGGTCAGAAAACACATTTACTTGAAATACTGTTCTGTTTTATGAGATTTCTTATGTAAATAGTTAAGCGGAAGTGCATAGTTAAATATATGTCACTGAAACGTTGTGTCAAGAGTTTTAAAGTAACTCTAAATGTTGTCATAAATGTTTGGGAAAACTTAGGGTACCTTTTTATTTAATTACAAATACCTAACCATCAACACTACCTTTGGATAAGGACTTTGTTGCCATGGCCCCTGAAATTTACTTTCCTGTAACTTTACAGTGAATATTTCTAACATGGGCTCAAGGAGTATATATAGTGGACTGACAGTTTATCTTTTGTATGAATCCTAGTTTGCTTTTAGTGACATTTGCACCTATTTCCAACCCCCTGAGACTAGAGTTACCAGCAATAGCACTTAGTAAGCTTGAAGAGCCAGGATAAAGCCATCTGCAAAGCTGATGGATAATAAAGGTGACCTTTTGTAGGAAACTGTTGTTTCATCAACGCCCTGTGTCCAGCCTTAAAGAGATGGCATATTATGTGTGGGTATATTCAGTTACATATATCAGCATTAGAATCAAGGTTGAAGAAAATTGTCAGGCATGTAGTTCATGAATTATTAAAAAATTAAACATACACACATATTTGAGAAGAAATGTTGTAGACTTTCAGACAGGGATGAAAGTGCACAGGCCTTCATTGGCTTGTGGTAACTTCATCCAAAGCACTGCCTGGAATAGGGCCTGGACTTTTTCTTAGCAGCTTGCTTTGAACTAAGAAACTGTATTAAGTCAGTCTTCTTGAATCATTTTTAGAAAAGATAATTGAACTGAGGATTTTAACTTTTATTTTCTGAGCTAATTAAAAACAAATACTTTAAACATTTACTATTATTCTTTTGTTCTTAATAAACAGGATGTTTTGTTTTCTTACTATCTAAAATTGTCTTATACCCTGTAGATCTAGTGAGTTCGATTTAGTATTAGACTCATTGAGATTTTGTTGTTGTTTTTTAGGGTTTTTTTTTTTAGAATTGATACAAGTGACCAACATGAACATTGCTTTTGCATTTGCTATAAAACCATTTACTGTCCCAGCTACTGTGTAATGTGTCACTCTGTGGCCTATAAATGTGATTTGGGGAGATAGCTCCCTGCCAGAAATTAACACTAAAAAAAACCCATATTAAGAATTGACTTGCTTTCCTCATAGATTAAGAGTTATGCAGATGACCTTATCACCTTTTCTTTCTTTTTTTTTGGTCTCAGGAAACAGAGTCAAATGTAATGCTTAATAACAATAACTGCATTAGCCATCAAGGGCAAACATAGAACTTCCTCCACCCACCCTCACCTGTTTTAACAACTTTGTCTTTAATGTTGCCTCTTATTGCAAGCTACCTCAAAGCTTTTTAGAAAGTATAATATAATGGAATGTATATAAGCTGCCTAATTGGCTATAGACCCATTAAAAGAAGTTTTATGCATGAACCACTGACCCAGACAAGAACTGCTCACATGCTTGCGACTTTCATAGTCTGTTTAAAAATGGGTTTATGTGATTTCTTAAAGTTTTCTACAAAACTGTGTCTTGGATATTTAAGTAAAGTTTGCTATTCTCTATAATCTATAGGGAAATTTTATTGTAATAGATTTTTACCAAAAATGAAAACCCTGGAATTTTTTTCCTTCAGATTTATGAATATTAACTTTTTTCTAAATTCTTGTCTTTCAAAGTTGAATCCTACCATACATATAAAAAATATTTGCCTTTATTTTAATATTAAACTTTAGAGAAACTTTAATTCCAAAGGTTTTCCAAAATTTCTTTCCGGTTTAGCTCCTATGAGTCTATGGTGAACTGGCAGCCTCCTGTAAGGGTGTGTCCCAGAAAGTACACTGACATTTCCTAAGTCCTGCAGTGTGGTAAAGGGTGTCTCTCTCTCACATCAATTTCTACCTTTTTCCTTTTTTGCCCTTAAAGAATTTAAACCTTCAAGCTTCAAAAATGAAAGCTTCTAAGGCAGTAGTTCTCAACCTTGGCTGCACATTAGAATCACCTGGGAATCTTTTTAAAATCCTGATTTCTGGGCCTCATCCTCCGGAAATTCTGTTTCTTTGTTACTAATGTTGTGGCCCCACCCCATAACAAAGAAACAGAATTTCCAGAGGATGAGGCCCAGAAATCAGGATTTTAAAAAGATTCCCAGGTGATTCTAATGTGCAGCCAAGGTTGAGAACCACTGGTCTAGCAGATGTCTTCAGAACTGATTAGAGGTCTCCTTGAAGTGGGAACTCTCAGACTGTATTCAGCCAAAACTAAATGTCTTCAACCAAAGCAATTTAGTTTTATGGTTTTAAAGACTTTAGGTAGAAAACATGATATATGCTTTTTTACTGAGTTTCCTGACTTGATCATTTATCCACTGTCCATGCACTTGTTCCTGTTGGGATAGTAGGGTAGATGTAGCACAGCATTGCTGGGGAACAAATGATTTTCAATTCAAAATAGATATAGCGCTACTCAAATACATTTATGATATCCAGTTTGAAAATTTCTAAAGGGCTTCAGATTAATTCTTAACTATAATTATTCATAGAAATATATGCTTTCTGTTAAATATTTAACATGCTAAATTATTTCTGCTCATGCTTTTTTGTTGACTTAAAGAGAGAGCATAATGCACAGTTAAAACTCAAAATATTGTCAAGATTTCATTTTTTAAATTTTGCTCCCTCGTGTACTTTTTCAACCTTATGTACAAAGTTTAAGTTTGCTGCTATTTTGTATTTTATAAACAAATTTTCATTGACAAAATGTATAGGATTTTTAACTACATTATTTCTGTGCATGGCTCTCACTTTAAAACTAGATATATAGTTAAAAGGCCACACTTCACCATTTGCTTTTGTAATTCAAAGCCTTTTGAAAAATGTTTTGTGTTTTAAATTATTCCATTAGCTAAAATTAAAATCACTTTTTTCTTTTTGTGATGTTTTGTAGTTTTTATATAATGCAGTCATATTATGCTTCTTTGATTTTAATGACCTTTTGCTTTGCTTTTCCTTCTTTTGTGCTGCAAACATATAGTGGATTTATGGTCTGTGGGGTGCATTATGGGAGAAATGGTTTGCCACAAAATCCTCTTTCCAGGAAGGGACTGTATCCTTGTGCTGCTGCAGCAGTGAAATTAGTTAGTGATGGACTGACTTCCTTATGTTCGCTAATGGGGATGAAGATGGTTCATTCTACAAGGGGTTTTAAACAGATTGTTTGTGGCTATTACAGTTCCAAAACTGCTGAGATGAGAAGCTGAAATATTCGTAGGCTGCGTCCGGCAGCAGGAAATACAGTCTCTGCTGGTAGTTAGAGCACATTCACTGTCACTCATTTTTATTTTGTACTGCTTTCTCTAATTTTAAAGTATACATGGTGTGCGTGATTTTTTTTAATGTTTTTTTATTTTTTATTTTAACCAAATTCTTTATGTTAATGTCATTGCATTTTGTTTTCAGTTGACATTTGGTCAGTTGGGTGCATCATGGGAGAAATGATCAAAGGTGGTGTTTTGTTCCCAGGTACAGATCGTATCCTTATCTTTGGCCTAAAATGTAGTTTCTAAAGGTCAAAATGTATGACAGCACTTCAGCTATGTCAAGTGTAATGTATTTTGTCTCTCCCTAATAATATTGTTAAATTACTCTACTCTTTCAAAATACCACCTGCTAGTTGACATAGACTTCCCTTCCCCCACGTATTGGTTGTGTCATGTTATTTCTGAGAACTGCTCAAGTTAATTATCCACAATTATTTACTGGCTTTGAGTTGATTTGCTTAATGTAAATCAAAAATCATGGCGGACATTAAAAAATTTTAATAAGTATGCACTTGATTAAGTCTAGAAGTACTTAAGACTTGAATATGAATTTTGGAATTGTCTGTTGCTTCTGGTCATCCTTTGGTTTTACCCCCTCCCCCCACCCCACCTTCCTTTTTTTTAATGTTCTTTGTGTTTTGTGTCTTTGGGTTGTCTGATTTCTTAACATAACATACTGATCTTTTCATCTGAGAATTTCAGCAGTAATAGTTTTATTATGGTATAAGTAGATTTGGAGTCATGCTTTTTGTTCATCTATTTTAATATTTACATTACCAGCGAGTGATGTGTGATGTGTTTGTCAGCTAGTCACCCTGAGACTGACGTGAGGAGAAGGCATGGGAGAGCCATATGCACTAGGTTCACCAGAGAGCTGTGGTTCTGGTCCCCGGGAGGACTGGCAGTGTGAAGACAGGAGGAAGGAGACAGGGAGTTCTAACCTCACAACTTACCAAACACTGATTCATGTTCACAGGGTTCAGAGCTTTCAAACAGAGTTTATTACCTAAGTTAAACAAAGCATGGCAAAAGAAAACACCACCTTTACCAGAGCCGTCATTTTTATTTTCTGTTAGTGTAGAAAATTCTCAAAAAAAGGGACAGATTATAAGCAATATTTCTTAGCCTGGAGGACAGTGATGGCGAACCTACGACACGCAAAACTCATTTTTTTGGTTGATTTTTCTTTGTTAAATGGCATTTAAATATATAACATAAATATCAAAAATATAAGTCTTTGTTTTACTATGGTTGCAAATATCAAAAAATTTCTATATGTGACACGGCACCAGAGTGAAGTTAGAGTTTTTCAAAATGCTGACATGTCGAGCTCAAAAAGTTCGCCATCACTACTCTAGGATATGCATTCACATTTTCAGATGAGCCAGAAAAAAATATTTTTGTATTCTAGAATTGTGTACAGTTTACATTTAGAGTCCCTGTGGGTAGTAATTGTCATTATTCTTTGAGTCATTTGTATTTGGAATTTGTTGGTTTAAGCGTTCACTTTTTTAAATATGTTTTTGTTGATTTTTTAGAAAGAGAAGAAGGGAGAAGGGAGAGATAGAAACATTAATGAGAGAGAAACATCCATCTGCTGCCTCCTGCACACTCCCTACTAGGGATCAAGCCCACAATCTGAGCATGTGCCCTGACTGGGAATAGAACTGGTGACATCTTGGTACATGGGATGACGCTCAACCACTGAGCCGCACCAGTTGGGCTAAGCTTTCATTTATATGATAAAATGAATATTACACACACGCACATACACAGTCTCTCTCTCTCTCTCTTTCTCTTTCTCTCTCTCTCTCTCTCTCTCTCTCTCTCTCTCTCAATAAGATTAACAGTGCTTGTTTATTGACCCTTTCTGTCAACCTTTTGCAAGGTGGCTATAAGATAAAAGATTTGTAACTGCCACATTCTTTCTTAGAATTTTATGATTGTTATTTTCTTGTTATTTTAATATGGCTATGACTATGTGTTGAACATTAGATACGGAGTATTTTTCTTAGCTACTTGATATTAGATATTGATCAGTGGAATAAAGTTATTGAACAGCTTGGAACACCATGTCCTGAATTCATGAAGAAACTACAACCAACAGTAAGGACTTACGTTGAAAACAGACCTAAATATGCTGGATATAGCTTTGAGAAACTCTTCCCCGATGTGCTTTTCCCTGCTGACTCAGAACACAACAAACTTAAAGGTACTTTTATAAATATATTTATTTAATCCTATTTGTGTGTGTGTGTGTTTTCATATTATTATAGAGCATACACTAAGTTTATTTCTGGGTGGTGGAACAAAGTAAGGTTTTAGTCATTTTTTTCTGTAACTATATTTTTTCATCATATGTATGACCTGATTTTATAGTAAAATATTTTTATAAAACACATACTTTTTAAAAAATGAGCATTTCAAGTTTCTGAAATGTATTGCTAATTTTAAAAACCTTTATGAAGTACGTGTACATTCACATCATTATTTTTGCAGCCAGTCAGGCGAGGGATTTATTATCCAAAATGCTGGTGATTGACGCATCCAAAAGGATCTCTGTGGACGAAGCTCTCCAGCACCCATACATCAACGTCTGGTATGACCCTTCCGAGGCGGAGGCTGTAAGTTCTTCTCTTCATGTTTGAAGAAGTCATACCCCTTACAATTAGAATTAAAGTTGGGTTTGGAGGAGACATTTTAATCTCTATATATAAAAGTCAAGCGACCAGAATGGCAGAATGACCAGTGGCTATGATGCGCACTGTGGCAGCCAACCGGCCCGATTGGGGGGCCCTAATCGGCCCCCCTCCAACTGCCCGCAGCCCTTCCCCCCTGCCGGCCCAACCCCAATTGGACACCCCCCGCCACAACCACAATAAGGGGTGGGGCGGGCCGGCCAACCTCCTGCATCCCTTCTCCCCTGCCTACCTGGCCCAATCTGCCACCATCAGGGTGGGCAGGCCGGGCCCCACCCATGCATGAATTCGTGCCCTGGGCCTCTAGTATTAAATAAAAATATAGGTAAATGATGATGCTGTTTTTCTGTTTTGCATTTAAAGTACCTTAAGTTAATGAGCCAAGCACTTCCTACACAAAATAAAGTTCCCTCTCTCAGCTTCTTGCCTTCTTGTCTTGATATCTGATCTGATGAGCTAGAACACTGAATGCTTTGGGAGGACATCCTAACTCAGTTATAATACAAATTATTGTGTCCAAAGCATAGCCCAGTTCTATGATGTAAATAAACTGACCATTTCAAAAGCTCGAAGAAAAGAAAAAGATAGTTAGACATCTTTTTCCTGTCAGGAAGGATTCTTCCAAAACTAGTCTCTACATCAAAGATGACTCATCACTCTGGTCTAATAATGTATTTTTACAAGCCCTTGATGTTTGGATAACATTTCAAATAATTATGACGGATTTGCATACTCCTAGTAAACTGACTCAGTTATTGCTGCCTTTTGTTTTTCAGCCACCACCCAAGATACCTGACAAGCAGTTAGATGAACGGGAACATACAATAGAAGAGTGGAAAGGTAACACTCACCAGGTCCTGAGAGATGGAGCTGAGAGAGCTTCTGGCTTATTGTGTTGATTTATTCATCATGTTGAGGAAACTAAAGATACTTTATATTATTCATAATGCACATTTGGTAATATTATTATTAGTATTTTTTGCAAAAAAGAGAAAGTAGGTCTCTTTTCCTCCCTTACTTAATCCTGATCTCTCACATCCCCTCTCTAGACACAGAAACATTTGTTCTTTTTAAAATATTTTGTTCTTCCATAGTCTACAAATACACAAGCCTGTGTGTTTGGGTCTCCCCCTTCTCTCTCCCACCTGTTTGATCCCAATGGTATATGCTGTGCAGTGTGCTTTGTGAGTGTAATCCCATATTAGAGATCACCCTCTCCTGCTCCACATGCTGGCGCATGGATACCCAGCTGTCCAGCTGTGTCAGTTTCTATACCCAGCTCCCACTTGCAGAGCACTTAAGTTGTGTCCAGTCTGTTGTTATTGCACATATGAGAACATGCCAATAAAAAAGTCCTATAAGATTTGCTGGGCCAAAGGATATTTTTCAGTTATTTCCAGATTACCCTCAAAGAAATTGTAGCAGTTTGCATTTCTGTCAGCACTGAATAGGAATGTCTACGTTACCCCCACCTTCACCAACAGAGAGAGTTCATTTGTAATCTTTGCAAATCTAATATCGTAGTTTTATTTTATGAAGGTAGTTGAACATTAATAATAATGCTTTGATAGTCATGGAAATATTTCTTTCTTTAAAAGATTCCCTGGGGTGGCCTGGCCTGTATTGCTCTCAGTGGTTAAAGCATCGGCTTGTGCACCGAAAGTCTCGGGTTGGATTCCGGGTCAAGGGCATGCACCTGAGTTGTTGCAGGTTCAGTACCCAACCCTGGTCGGAGCACATTCAGGAGGCAACCAATTGATGTGTCTCTCTCACATCGATGTTTCTCGCTCTCTCAAAATCAACAGAAAAAAATATCCTCGGATGAGGATTAACAAATTTTAATAAAAAGCTTCCCTGGGACAGGTAGGCCAGGTCATTTTTAGACCCTGTTTACCTCATTTGTGTTATTGTTATGTGGTGTTTGGACCACTTTTGTAGCTACATGACTTTGGGCAAGTCGCTTGATCCCTTTTTTTACCTGAACTTAAATAACTGGGCACAGAAGACTTGCTATTAAGAACTATGTGCCTACATATTGGGAAAGCAAAAGGGACTGCAGAGGTATAAACAGACAGGTAATCCAGCTATAAATTTATTTGGGAGGAATGAATTTGATTCTTTCTTCTTAGGAGTGTAACCAGAGATTAGTTTTCTCTGAGTTGAATCTGGGAGACATGTAGTTAAACTCTGTAGAATCTACCAGAATGATATAATTGGGTAGAACCAAGTACATTTTTACATGTAATAGGTAATATGCAAGGATATAACTGTGGGCCAGAGTGTGTAGTATGGAAATATCTAAACTGATACTCTTATATCTCATGAAATCTTAGTAGGCCACCAATTGTAAAACACACCATAATGTGCCACTGGTTATACAACCCAATTTCAGAGACATTAAACTGTAAGAAAAAGTGCATCTTAAAATCAGTGGCTCATGGTGTTTTTGTTTGCATAAGGACATTCCTGGGATTTTTGAGAACTCTAGACAGGTTCGCCTTTATGTTGCATCGTTTCCTCTTAGCCCCACGTGCTTTTCCATGATTATCTGCTCACTGCCTCTTTCAAGAACTGCTGACAAGTTTTAGCATCATAACGCAGAGAAATCCATTGCCAAAGCCATTAACTGCAGATCACTTTGCCCAGTTAGTACTGCTGATTAGCTCTTGCTTGTCTACCTAATCCCTTTTCATAAAGTGGTGCTGTTTTCTCATTTTTTAAAAAATCCTCCTACCTGGAATGCTTATCATTCCTTTTTGTTTCTTTGAAGTAAAGCTTTTCCCATTCTTTCCTCTATCAAGACTTCCTATTTTTCTCCTTCCAAGTCCAAGAAGGTCACCACAGCAAGCAAATTTAGGTGTTTCTAGCGCTTGTTCATTTCAACACATCCACTTGTTTACCTTATTACCAACAGAAACATTGTCATATATAATCACAGATCTCTGTCAGAAGTTTAAAGAATTAAAGACTCCTTAAAATCCTGTGCTACATTTTTGCTTGCACATTTTCTCAGAAGAGGGTACATTGCTTTTATGCAGTTCTTAAATTATTCCAGGACCCCAAAATGATAAGGAACAATGGCTCTGTAGCTTCTACCAGAAGGTTCTTCTTTAGTAGATGTTCAGTCACAGGGCTCATCACACAACGTCAGGCCACTGAGGAGAATGCAGGGCAGCATCTGGTGCAACTGCTTGGGTGGACGTCCTTGCAGCCTTCTGCCCACAGCAGGCAAAGGGCAGGGTCCCATGGAGAAATTGTGACAGTGATAGCATGTCAGGCTGCAGTTTTTAAGGTTTTCAGGTGTGGCCATCTGCCTCTTTTTTTTTCTTTCTTTCTTTCTTTTTTAAATAAAAATGTATTTTTATACCATTCTTCCACACTCTCTTTCATTTAAATCCTTTAACAGGTATCTGGGTTAGCACCTACAACTTCCAGGTCCTATCAGGAAATAGACGCTAATAAGACAGATAACTCGTGCCCTCTCTGAGACAGCATTAAACAAGTGTATGCAGTACAGTGTGAAATGTGGTCTGACATGGCGTAGTACAGAGTGCTGGTGGAGTGGGAAAGACAAGGTTTCTAACCACAGTTCTATCTTTAATCCACCTCTAGGAACACCAGTTAAGGCAGAGATTTTGTTTCTTACAACATAATTCTTGGCAGAGGATCAAAGAATTGTTTTTAACATCTTTGAGTCTTAGGACTTTGACACTTACAGACCCTCTACCTTTGGAGGATACTATTTGAAGTACTTAATCTGTGTAAAAATATTTATTTAAAACAGATGTCTTGTGAGGTTGGCTTTCAGACTTTAAAAAGTTTGTTTTTGTTCACCTCTTTTTCAGAATTGATATACAAGGAAGTTATGGACTTGGAAGAGAGAACCAAGAATGGAGTTATACGGGGGCAGCCCTCTCCTTTAGGTTGGTTACAATATAAGCTTGGTTAAAATTACAGTTTACTTCTTGTGTTGTAATCTTCAGTGGCCTGAAACCTGCAGTTCTTTCCATATTTACTACCATTACTATTCAAAGTTTAATAAGTATAAGAAGTACAGTTGGGGTGGTTAAATTGGAAGCATTGGTATGTTGTTGTACTACAACAGTAGTGCACTGCACTATATTATACTATACTACACTATACTATACTGCAATGCACTATAGTATATTATACTGCTCTACACTATACTATACTGCACTATCTAATAAAAGAGAAACATGCAAATTGACCATATCTCCTCTACACCCACAAGCCACGCCCACAAGCCAATCAGAAGCAAATATGCAAATTAACCCAACTAAGATGGTGGCGGCCACGGAGCTGGAGCGAGCAGGAGGCTTCAGTTGCCCCCGGTAGTGGAGGAAGCCAAGCTTCCCGCCTGCCCTGCCAGCCCATAGCACCACTCAAGGCTACAAAGTTTCAATTATAGAAGATAAATAAATCCCAGATACCTGCTTCCAGCCCGCAGCCGTGGCCAGCCTGAAAACGGCCATCAGCCCCTCACCTAGGCTGGCCAGGCACCTCAGTAGGGCCCCCCACTCTGAAGGGGCTGTGGCCACCCCAAAAATGGCCATCAGCCCCTCACCCAGGCTGGC